TACTATATTATTTGCGAGTTCGGGCACCCTACACCCACCCATCCACGACGACTTTGATGTTGCTAATTTGGATCGGCGTCGTGCTGGTGAACGTTTTTCGTTGACGATTCGGGGTGCTGACGACTTTGGCCACGAGGCACACGACAACTTTATCAGCATTCGGTAGGATTTATAACTCCTTTACCAAACCCCTCCAATATATAGGGTGTCCCAAAAAATGTATACACATTTTAAACAATTGTAACTTGGAGATTTATTATAATTTTATTGTTTCTCCACTGAATTTTCCCCATATTTTAAATAATTGAGAAAGACAGAAGCCATTGAACATGAATGCGCCCAAATACAAATGAAAGTGTTTTGTGGTGTGTAATATTCCATTGCTTCACACTGCCAGCAGTGTCTGGATTAAAAGGATGTCAGTTTGAGAACATGCAGTGAGAAAACAATAAAATGATACTTGTCAAGAGTTTTACAATTTTTAAATAACAAAAATACAATAAATACCGAGTTTACAATTATTTAAAATGTGTATACATTTTTTGAGACACCCTGTTTATCATTTAGACTTGCTGTAGTATTCATACTATTGAAGTCTTTTGGTACATACTGATTTGAAAACAAATCCTAACTACTAAACGCAAGTATTTATGCGAAGCTTTTTCAGCGTTTCGGTTTCATTTACACCCTCACCTGTTCCTTTGTCTTGAAATTTTCACCGCACTGTCTACTGTTGAGCCGCTACTACCTCATTTTCAGGGAAAGTATCAACAGAGCCGCTGACGCGTTGGTTGAAGACACACGTTCGCTCGTTAGTGGTGCCGGGGAAGACCAGAACCGACTTGCAGGATCAACACAATTAGCTGTTCGCAACATATCTCAGTTAGCCGAGGTTGTCAAGGAGGGAGCTGCCATTCTCGGTCCAGGCCAACTCGACAACCAGGTATGTCTCAACTGATTAGGGTAGAAATTGTTTGTTGAAGTCGATGACTGGTGTAATAAACCGCACACCTTGCCGCAGCCCACTTTTTAATATTGATTAAAAGA